TCCATGTACCCTGTAAAGCAAGTTTATTATGTGTGTGTGTGTGTGTGTGTGTGTGTGTGTGTGTAAAATCTAAGCTATAATCACTTAGCATGTCTAAGTAATACATCTGCTATTTAAATATTATATGCCTTTTATTGTTAAGTGCCGAAAGTCATAGACAACTCTTAGCAACCCTATGAACAAAAGATCTGAACACTTGTATAACTTTCATGGTTTCTCCAAGTTCATAGAGTTTCAAGAGGTAAAGTATTTCAGAAGTGGTTGTCACTCCTGCTTCCAAGCCTGTTTTAATCTGAGAGCTCCACCAAACACTGTCCACCATGGGTAACCATTATTGCATTGGACACATCAGTGTCACAGTATTTAGCATCACAAAAACCAAGGGTTACTTATGTACAGCAAATGGACAGACCAGTGCTATACCACTTAGAAGAATGTTGGGACCAAAAACAACTAATACTAATGTTAGGAAATAATTTAGCTCTCTTCTGCAGAGCCGCTGACACGTAGCCCCCTTTTGGCTAGCAGGGCAACAAACCATGTATAAGCAACATGAGTTCCTCTACGTGCACTTGTTGTTGCTGTTGTGTGCCATCAAGCTGCTTGTGACTCATAGCAAACATATGTACAAGAGTCCTAAAACCCTGCTCTACCCTGTGCCAACCTCACTGTTTCTGGCACACCTACTCTCTCATTACCCCCATCACTTAATTGATCCCTCTCATCGAGGGTCTTCCTCTCCTATGCTGTCCCTCCATCCTCCCAAACATGATATCCCTCTCCAAGGACTGGTCCCTCCTCGCAACATGCCCAAAATATGTCAGATGAAGCTTCAGAATCTTAACTCCAAGGAGCAGTTCGGCTTCACCCCTCCAGGACAAACCTGTTTGTTCTCCTATCAGTCCATGGAATAGTCAACACTCTTCTCCAGCACCACAGCTCAAAGGCATCAATTCTCTTTCTATCATCCCTAGTCACTGTCCAGCTCTCTGATGCATAGCACACAACTGTGAAGACTATGGCCAGGATCAGGTGCTCCTTAGTCTCCAGCCTGATGTCATTGCTCCTCGGTACTCTGGAGAGGTCCCTGACAGCTGACTCTCCCATTGTAATTCGTCTCTTGATTTCCTGTCTGCTGGTACTGAGAGTGTTGACTGTGGAGCCAAGCAAACTAAAACTGTTAACAATCTCAATCTCTTCACCGTCCATAATGATGCTGCCAATTGGCCCAGTGGTGAGAATCTTTGTTTTCTTAATGTTGAGCTTCAATTCATATTGAAGGCTGCAGTCCCTGACCTTCTGCAGCAAGCGCTTCAGATCCTCCTCAGTTTCAACAAGCAGGGTTGTACTGTCTGCATAATACAGACTGTTGATGAATCTTCCACCAATCCTAATGCCACATTCTTCCTCGTACAGCCCAGCCTTCAGATGATCTGTTCTGCATATAGATTGAAAAGGTATGGAGACAGAATATGTCCCTGGCAGACACCCTGCCTGATTTTGAACCATGCAGTAACTCCTTGCTCTGTTCTGACGACTGCCTCTTGGTTTAAGTATAGGTTTCATATAAGCACAATCAAATGTTCTTGGATTCCCATTCCTCTCAGAGTCAACCACAGTTTGTTGTGATCCACACAGTCAAAAGCCTTTGCATAGTCAATGAAATACATACAGACATTCCTCTGGTACTCTCTGCTTTCTGCCTAAATCCATCTAACATTAGCTATAATATCTCTTGTACCACAGCCTCTTACATCTGGCAGTTCTCTGCTGACATGTTGCTCCAGTTGTTTTTGGATAATTTTCAGCAAAAGCTTGCTTGCATGTGATATTAATGATATTTGATAATTTCCACACTCTGTCAGGTCACCCTTCTTTGGAAAAACCCAAAATCCAAACTGCCAGTTAAGGCAGTTTCAACCATTAGCAATCCTACAGGATAGAGCAGAACTGCTCCATAGGGTTTCTGGTGCTGTGTATCTTTGCAGGAGCTTACTGCCTCATCTTTATTTCACGGAGTCAACAGTGAGTAAAAACAGCAAATCTTTTGGTTAAAAGTCCAACATTTAGCACTTTATGACACCTAGGCTGCTCTAGAAATTGAAAAGGGGGAGAGAGAAGAATACCTTCTTCTGTTAAAAAAATGAGTTCCTGGTAGGTTCAAATCTATACAGAAAAAGGCTCAGTGGTCTACTTCTTAAAAACCATAAAGTGCAAACCCTATACAGCAATAATCCTGCTTTTGATACACACTGGATTGCCCTAAATTAGAATTGATTCAACAACACTTTGTTTCTGCAGTAATAAAATGTTCAAATTATCAATACTTTTATGATATTATAAATCTACTGCCTAATTGTTGTCCATAAGGAGGACAGTTATTTACTATAATAATAAAAAAGTAACGAACATTATGGCAGCCATCTTGACTTGGCTATATATTAGAATCACTTGAGGAAGTTGTAAAAATATTACCACCTAGGATCTACCTCCAGATGTGCTGCAATCTCAAAGGCACATTGTTTTGAGACCACCAGCTTCTCCAGGGGAGAAGGATGGACAATTTCTTCTCATGCAATTAACTGCCTCTGAAAACCCACTGGAGGGTCTGTTATGGGTTGGTTCCAACTTGACAGTATACAACAACAACAACAGGATCTAACTCCAAATTCTACTTTTATTGGTCTAAGATAAAGATCAAGTTAAGTGTATGTATAAAGTTACTTCCATATCTGCTTACTGTCTCCTAGATTCCCTGAGTGGCATAAACAATTAAGCTCTCCACTATCAAACAAAAGGATGATGGTCAGAATCTTCCTAGAGGTCTCTCAGATAACAAACCTGATCATTTGTTTCGAGAGCATTACAGCTAAAAACACAGGGTTCATGGAGTAAGAATTGCCTCAATGTCAAAAACAATGCCAACAATTTATAGTATTCTGAAGTTAAAATACAAAGTTGTTCTCTGGCACCAAAGATTTTACATTACTGTCATGAAATTGTGTTTCCTGTCCTCCCTTAAATATTTGTCAACATGGCTGGGACAAGATTCCTGGTAGTTTGCAGTTATGCAACAATGTGATAATCCCCTTCCTCTGCCATAATGCAAACAGTCAAAAAGGCTGTAAGGGGTTGCCAGTGAGAAGGAGTAACCTAACTTGGGTCACAGTCCCGATCTAAAAGTTTTTTCTGGGCTTGATCTGAATCTTCTTTTCACTTACAAGAGATAAAAAAGAGAAAACCAGGAAGAGAAGGAAGGATTCCAGGACCAAAAAGCAAAACTACAAAGTGGAATGTGTTCTTTGGACCCAGGGTTTCATGCTCAGAACACCCTAAAACCAGGAGAACAGTGATATTAAGACACACAGAGATCCCCAAGAGACTTCAGATATGCAGAGTTTGAAAGGAGAAAACCTTCCCCCATATGCCTTCCCCTACAGTGAGCACCATGAATCTGGACTTCCATCTTCTTAAACTGTAAGAAAGAAAATGTCTGTATTTTGAGGTAGGGTCATTTTTTTAAAGTCATCTACTTGTATTTTTCCAGAAAACTATCTATTAAAATTTAAGGTGCAAGGAAAAAAACCAAAGATCACATTTAAAAAACTAACATTTTTTTCCTTTGTAACATGTTAGAAGTTTAGCATTCTATTAAGAACTTTGTTGATAATTCTGCATATATTGCATTATACACAACTGTTAACAAAAGTCAAGAAATAAGAAATTCAATAAAACTCAGAAATTATTTAAATTTATCAAAGAACCACAATGAACATTTAAAAAAAAATTAGTCCCTTTTAATAATTTTTCCTTATCTCAAAACAAATAAGAGTAGAAACTCCTTAACATATATAGGTTTGGCAAAGAATATTTCTATACCCATATTTGCATGTGTTATAAATTTATCTAGGTATTGAGAAGAACAAACAGCAGACAAAATTATGCAAACTTCTTGGCAATAACCAAATACCTTGAAGGACTGCGTAACTGAGCTTCAATTATTTATTAATTGTAAATGCATTTAAAAAAACAACAACAAACAAACATCAAACTAGGCAATACCATTTCAGACAAGGGTTTCATATAAAAATATCAGAGAATCCTATAGGGCCTCCACAAGAAAAAGACTAATAACAGAGTTACAAAATGAGCAAAAGACATGGAAAGATTTTCATAGAGAAAGATATTCGGATGGTTAACAGACACGAAGAAATGCTCAGAATTACCAGCAATAAGAGAGATAGAATCAAAACCACAATGAGATACCATCTCACTCCAGTAACAGTGGCCAAGTTTAACAGGACAGCAAGTAATAAATATTGGAGAGGATGTATGATTGTCCTGTGATAGACTTGCAGGCAACAAAAGCCATGGTTACCTCAAGTTTTTCTAGAAACTAATAAAATTAAAAACAATTATCAAAGTCTGTTTGCTTGGGTGTGTTTTTTTTTAATCAATACTTTTATTTCTTGACTGCACATATGCAGATACATACATATACATGATCACTTAACATATACACAATCTATATAACCACAGTAAACATGTTCCACTGTCTAACCACTTTTACTCTAAAGCCACACTACAGAAAGTTAAAACTGTGTTACTTAGACTAATTAGAAAGTAAGGATCCACTGATGGATGGATAGACAGTCAAATAGGTAGAGACAGTGATCAACAGAGAGACTGGTAGTTTGATATAAAAACACATTAGAAGGAGGAAAGGATGCATGACACAGGGAAGAACTTGTACTCTAAAAGCCAATATTTATAATTTACAAGTTACAAAAGGTAGCATAAGGATATCTGTCAAAGACATCACCACAGAGTAAATATGAGCTAGATTAAAAAAAAATGAATTCTAAAACAATTGTAACATATTATCAAAAGCAAATGTCTTTTGTAACAGGGAAAATTACCAAATTAGTTCTGTATTTTATAATTTCACTTTCCTAAAAAGATACGTTATGTGACTGAACTTAGGGGCAAATGCATCTTACCTTCCACAGAAGGTGCCTGGTCCTGAGCTGAATAAAGCATATCCTTGAAAGCCTATGTGGGAAGGGTGGAGAAGGAAAGCAAAGCATGAAATTAGTAATCTTTAAATTAAAGGCATCTGCAGTGAATCAATTACTACCTTGACAATATCTAGATAGTAATTACATGTAAGTCCCTAAATTAAGAATTTAGTGAAATATTTCAACCCAAATACTGTATTTTCTACATCAACTAAATACTGTCCAATAAAATATCATTTACTGCCATCTAGTATGTTACAACTCTTTGTATCCCTCCATCAGGTTTCTGAAGCTGTAAATCTTTGGGGGAGGAGACTCCTCATCTTTCTCCCATGGAGTAGCTGGTGGATTCAAATTGCTGACCTTCAGGTTAGCAGTCCACAGTATTATGCACTCTATCATGGCCCTTTACATATATCATCAGTAATCGAATTTGTAGAAATTCAAACACTAAACTCAGTGCTGTCAAGTTGAAACCAACTCACAACTGACCTTCCAGTGGATTTCCAAAGGCTGTAAAACACAGGAGGAGCATAGCCATCTTTTTCTTGAGGAGCTGCTGATGTATTTGAAACACCAGAGAGGTGCCATCTTTGAGTTAGCAGAACAACTCCTCACAGAATTAAAGAACATTTAGGAAAGAGTTAAAAAAAAAAAATACCAAAAGAACCAAAAACAAACATAAGAGGTCATAAATTCTCTTGTGTAAGGGATAGAATTTGAACGGGAAAAAAGTACTCTAGAGGAATACTACATAAGAAAATATGAATAATGGGAAAAAAATAATTTTTAAATGAAGTTTGAAAAGTCCTCCATAAGAAGAGCAGAGCACAGGACTTTATGGAAAGCACAGGCTTTTTTGTTTCTCCCCTATACAGATTCAACAATGACCATATTTAGAGTTTTTGAATGATTACAGTTTGACTTAATAACTGGTAAGGAGACAACAATTAGAAGAATTTCCTTTTTTTTTAGAAGAATTTCTTTACATCCATACAAATAGCAAAATTAATGAAGTAGAGGTGGTAATCACAATCTTAAGCAACTCCATCCAGTCCCATAAATTCAAAACTTCAAATACCATCTTAACACTGGTGATTGGCAAATTAGCCTTTATCTGAGTTCGTCAACTTTGCTATGCTATTTTGAGTTGGATAATCCTTTGCTGCACATACAGTATTTAGCAGAAACCTTGGCACCTAGAGACCTACCTTTCCACAAAGCACTTCCCACACATGCAAGTAATGGACAAGCAAAACCTTCCTAGGCACTGTCAAGTGTCTCCTGGGGAGCAGAATCAGCCTTCTCCCCTCCAGAAGTGCTAGCCTATAGTCACTCAAATACATTTCCTTTAGGGAAAGACATCCTTTTTTTAAAAAGTATTCAAATCTAGGGGATTATATTCTACTGAAGAAAATCTAATATTTACTTTGTATTAGTTACCAATCTCTAGTTCAACAACTAGTCAAGACAATATACTGCAAAACTATTTAAATAGAACCAAGGAAAACTAGAAAGCAATGCATTTTTGCCAAAGAGTATATATATTTTTAAGTATATCACTCTGATGGCCCAAACGTTAAGGAGTAGTACTGACATCGCAAGGAAATCTGGTTCAAACCCACCAACTGCTGCATCGGAAAAAGAAAAGCAGTATCTTCCATGTAATTAACTACATCTGAAAACTTCATGGAGGTTCAGCTATAAATTAGTTCTGTCTTTAAAGTACATAACAATAAGAACATCACACTTCAATGCCAGACATGCTTAAATCTAAAAATACATAATAAAATTAATGACTGCTTAAATTTGCTGGTGTACAAAACCTCTAGAAGACTGTAACAAAAGCATAGAACCTATTCTTTTTCTTCTATGCTAATTAAACTCCCCCCTCAATTCATTATATTTAATAAAACTAATCAATAATGAACCAAGTACATCAATTCCCTGTCCTTCCATATACCCAATGGATCCTTCCCAATTCTCCTACCTGCTCTTCCCTTCATCCATCAAATTGTGCAACTCTATGATTTCATCCCTGCCCATTCTTACCCCTCTGCTCCTACCCTCCCTCTCTGGATCATCATATATGTTTTACTAGTTATCTTTCTAGTTCTACAATAATGGTCTCACACTGTATTTATCTTTATGAGATTGAGTTAGTTCACTCAGCATAATGCTCCCCAGTGTCTCCCAAGTTAAGCAGAAATCATTGTTCCTGAGTGCTGTGTAGTATTCCATTGTGTGAATGTAGAACAATTTCTCAATCCATTCGACTGTGGTTGGACATTTGGGCTGTTCTTGCGATGGTGAATAACACTGCTACAAACACTAGTGTACAAATTTCCATCTGTGTCTCACTCCCAATTTTTCTGGGGTGTATTCTAAGCAATGTAATAGCTGATTATATGGAATTTCCATGTTCAGCTTTTTGAAAAAACGTCTCCCACCAACAGTGGATGAGAGTTCTATCTCTCTGCTTCTCTCCACCACTTATTTGTGCTTTCTGTCCTAAACTTTCCCACTGCTACTGGGATGAGATGGTATCTCATTTGGTTTTGACCTACATCTCACTTTTTTTTATTAATTTTATAATCATTTACATACAAAGTTCATAAAATTCATATACATTGTTTTTCACACTGGGTCTTTACCTACCCCTCCCTCTCTCCATCAAATTATGTGATGCTATGATTAAGCTCCCCCTCACACCCCTTGGATCCTTGTATTCATTCTACAATAATGGTCTTGCATAGCATTTGTCTTTATGAGACTGAGCTTACTCAGCATAATGCTCTCCAGTCCCTCCCATTAGATAGTAATTTTTAAAATCATTGCTCCTGCATGCTGCATAGTATTCCATTGTGCTAGTGACCATAATTTCTCAATCCCGTCCACTATGGTTAGGCATTTGGGCTGTTCCATGTTCTTGATATAGTGAATAATGCTGCTATGAACATTAGTATACAAGTCTCTGTGCCTCAGTTCTCATTTTCTCAGGGTATATTCCAAGCTTTGGAATAGCTGGGTCGTATGGAATTTCTGTGTTTAGCTTTTTGAGGAAACACCACACATCCTTCTAGAGAGGTTGTACCATTTTACAATACCACTAACAATGTATACTAACAATGTATACAATACCACTAACAATGAGTTCTATCTCACCACACCTCTCCAACTTTTACTACTTGCTGCTCTACTAAACTTTGCCACTGCTACTGGTAAGATGGTATTTCACTGTAGTTTTGATTTGCATCTCTCTTATGACCTGCATCTCTCTTACTGCCAGAGATATTGAGCATTTCTTCATGAGTCTATTGGCCACCTGAATGTCTTCCTCTGTGAAAAGTCTTTCCATTTCTTTTGCCTATTTTGTAACTGGGTTATTGGTCTTTTTCTTGTGGGGCCCTGTAGTACAAAACCTATCCTAAGAAAAATGTATATAAAATGGTTTTACTATATATCAAGTGTTCTGGGGATCATTACCATTTAAGATTCATCAACACTTTCATTATGCAAATGACACAACACTGAATGCAGAAAAGTGAAGAGAAAGTTTGAAGCACTTACTGCAGAAGATCAATGTTAGTCTTCAATATGGATTACCCCTCAACATCAAGAAAACCAAAATCCTCACCACTGGCAACACATCAAGACTGTTGTTTTTATGTGCTGTCCAGTCAACCATGATTCACAGCAACTTTATAAACAATGGTTTTGAACCTTATTCCTATTCTGAGCCTATGTCACAATCTCTGACACGCTTAACCCACTGCTATGATCACTGTGTCAATCCATCTCATTGAGGGTCTTTCTCACTTATGCTGATCCTCCACCTTTCCAAGCATAAAGCCCTTCTCCAAAGACTGATTCTTACTGACAACATGCCAAAAGTATGTGAGACAGAGTTTCACCATCCCTGCATCCAAGGAGCATCCTGATTTCACTTTCTCCAGGAGAGATCTGTTTACTCTCTTGGCAAGCCATGGGATTCTCAATATTCTTCTCCAGCAGAACTCAAAGCATCAATTCTCCTTCTGTCATCCTTAGTCACTGTCTACCTTTCAGATGCATAACAAGCAAATGAAAAGACCATGGCCTAAATCAGGCACATCTTAGTCTTTATAATGACATCATTGCTTCTTAGCAGTCTAGAGAAGTTCTTTACAGCAGATTTTCCCAAGGCAACTCATCCTTGGATTTCTTGAGTGCTGCAAAGATATCAACTATGGATCCAAGTAAAATGCAATCATTAACAATTTCAATCCTTTGTCCATCTATCATGATGCTGCATATTGGCCTAGTGGTGATGATTTTTGTTTTCTTGATGTCTGGATGCAATTCATATTGAAGGTTGTAGTCCTTGATTTTCTGCAACAAGTACTTCAAGTCCTTTCACTCTGAGTAAACAAGGTTGTGCCAGCTGCATAGAACAGGCTGTTGTTAAGTCTTCCTCCTACTGTGATGCCACATTCTTTTTTGTAAAGTCCATCCAGCTTCTCAAATGACCTGTTCAGCATACAGATTAGAAAGGTATTGTGGCATTAGCCTAAAGTTAGCTTTTTTAGTCATTACCTTATGACCCTCTAATCTCCAACTATCTTAACTGCAGGTGCAAGGTCTTGCAAATCAGCAACAGCTGGAGAATATAAAAAGTGCACTCTCTACACTACGGAGTATGTCAAAACACAACACAGGACCAGAAGTCTGATTATGTTCAAGCAGCCTGCTGCATCCAGTCGAACCCCACTGATCACCAATTTCTACAACAAACCCACCCTGCATAACTACAGTCATGTGAGTCATTCCTCTGATAAGTTTGACTCTCTGGGGGACCATCCAGCAATCAGGCTATAGAGGAATCGGGAAACTGAGTCACTTATGGAGCTATTAAAAAAAAGTATGAACTTATACATTTGTCATTATGTTGATCTGAGGCTTCTGATTAACTGTGTGCTATGCGAAACCTATACTTGGACCAAGAGGGAGTGTCAGAACAGAGCAGGGAGACAATAGATGGTTCAAAATAAAAAA